ATGAGCAGTGCTGTGTGCACAGTACCTGTGGCTGTGAGCAGTGCTGAGTGCACTATACCTGGGGCTATGAGCAGTACTCTGTACACAGTGCTTGGATCTGTGAGCTTTCAAAAGGTCTCAAGTTTTTGAGACCTGAGAAAAAAAATATCGGCACCTGCATATGAACATTCAAATTAACAATTTCAAAATTAAAATTATTTTTTAGATCCTTTCAAAATTGTCCATGAAAAAATTCGTATTTAGTGAGGGATATGCATATATTTAATACATGTGATAAAAAATGGCCATGTTGAGTTGGACATCATCCTGAGGGTGGCTGGGAACCACTGAGAGTTGCAGGAAAGGTTTCTGTAGCTGCAGTGAGTAGAATGGATTGGAGGCAGGCCAGTCTAGAGGCCCAGCAGCTAGAGACCAGAGGCAGTTACTGTCTTCCAGACTCAAAGAAAACTTGTCCTTGGTGCCAAGATTGGCATAAAATGATAGCATTATGCAACCCAATTATCCTTTGATTTCCCCAGCACCAAGCTGAATCAGCATTCTAAATTTACTTAAGATCTGGGGACAAGGGTTTGGCCAGCTTCTTTGGTATTAAGGCCAATGATGTTGCAGTCTAGGAGAGGGAGCGTCAAAGAGCACACACTCTGAGTCAGACAGACACAGATTCAAACCTCAGCTTTACCGTTTGTTAGCTATGTGACTTTGCACAAGTGACTTGACTTCTCTGAACCTCAGATTCTTTACTGATAAAACTGATATAAACATCTGTCGTGGAATAGAGGGAGATAAACTACATATACAGTACAGGAGAGGTATCTTATGAATAAAACACAGCTGTTATCATCAATGTGCCATTGTTGAGGACTGAGGCTAGTTATCTCTAGGAGGAGACAGACAGTAGGGTAGATAATGGAATCTTTTTTGTTTTGTTGTTTTGTTTTTTTGTTTTTTTGCTTTTTGAGACAGGGTCTCACTATGTAGTTGAGACTGACCTGGAACTCCCTATGTAGCCCAGGCTGGTCTCAAACTCACAGCGATCTCCTGCCTCAGCCTCCCAAGTGCTGGGATTACAGGCATGCGCCACCACACCTGGCGATAATTGAATCTTTTCATCAATATGAGGTAAAAATGATTGGCCCCATTTTGAGCTGAGGAAACTAAAGCTCAGAGGATGTGGAGTAGACATGGTAAGCTTGTAAGAGCTGGAATTTTATTTTCTTATTTCTATTTTTGTTTTGTTTTGGTACCAGGAATCAAACTCAGTACCTTGGGCTTGCAAGGCAGGTGGTGGAAACACTGAGCTAAATCTCTGGTCCTGTTCTTTCTTTCTTTCTTTTTTGAGACAGGGTCTCAGTATGCAGATCAGATTGGATTTGAACTCACTCTGTAGGCCCTCCCCCCCCTACAGCTGACCTTGAACTTGCAGTGATCCTCCTGCCTCAGCCTCCTGAGCACTGGGATTCTGTAAGCCAACATGCCTTACTCTTCCTTCTGCTTGTGCCTTCTCCCTTGCATTTAGCATATGCTGCTCCCACTAGTCTGTGATGAGTCCTAAATGACTGTCCTTAGTTGTGGTACAGGTCAGTTGTTATGGCTGACGGTGACACAAGTACTGTCCTCTGCTGCCACCAAACACCATTTCCCTTCTTCCCCAATTTCCCTGTTAGCTCCTTGCCCCTTAACTTTACAGCCTCAGAATTTTCCTTGTCAAAGAGCTTGTCTTGCTGAGACTCAGACAGAACCACCCATACTGGGATGCCTTCCAGGGTACCTCCCTGTCAAGGGAGCAGATAAGTAGGTCACCATTGGGATGGTGGTGGAGGTAGCCAACTTCTTTGGGGAAGAGGAAAAATACTGCAGATCACACAGAGACTGGGAAGCAAAATAACAGTCGTAGTTCACGTTCTATCCCTCACCCCCGCTGTCCACCATGGCCGTGAGCACGGGCTCACTATGGGTTGGGGACACCAATGGAGACTATTGAGCAGAAGGTTTGCATCCTCCTTGCTCCCCTCCACCTGCCCTGACTTCTATTCAGCTGCCCCACTGCACCCAGGCAGCGCTCTTTTCAGTGAAGGGCCGCTCAGCTTCAAAGCCTGCTCCCTGCTGACTGTTTCTCCAGGGACTGGGAGCCAGGGCTTGGGAACACAGAGGCTCCTGGGGCCAGAAAGGCTCAGACCATGATTGCCTGGAGCAGCAGCCCAGAATTCCATTTGTTAAGATGCTGTTGCGGCAACCAGGACAAATCATGGACTTTGCAAGATTTAACATCCTCACCTGGGCTTTCTTGGTGATAGTTCACAACGGGTGTAGATGACCATCATGAAAACCAGAGACAGAGAGACAGGGAGAAGGACAGAGGCAGATTGTGGCAGTAAAGATCCAACACTACAACTCCACCCTGCCCCACTGTCCCCAGGGACTGAGCCCCACTGGCCTCAGAACATGGGGCGGTCCCATTTCTAGGAAGCTGCAGCTGGAGGGGAAAGGTCCCGGCTGCCAGAGCAAGGTTGTGTACAACGTGCGTCCCGGCAGATGATGGGTCCCCAGACTCCACACCCACCCTGGGGCAAAGACAAGCACACAAAAACAAAAAGACCAAAGGCTGACCCTTGGACCTGGGAGTGACCAGACCCACTTCCCTGGATGGTGGCTGTGGAAATAGGGAGTTCACCTCTGGAGAGGATGAGGTGGTTTCCACCCTCCTGGCTGGCAGCCCAGTGAACTTCCAGCCCAGAGTCCCTGAGTCAGGACATGAGGCTCAGAGGCGACAGTCCAGGCTTTGGGGTGCAGTGTTCCCAGCCTGGCTTATGTTTCCATACTGCCCTTTGCCCTCCCTCTCCCTGTCCCCAAGACCCCTGGCAGACTGCTCAGGGATCCCAAACCCCCCATCCTGTAGAAGAGAATATCCACTCACCCCTCCAGTGTCTGTGCTCGGGCGCCCTGAGGGGGAAGTCCCACTCTTGTCTTGTCATCCTGCCCCCCACCCCCATAGCTCATGAGAGAGGCAGTGCTAGGTGACAGGAGAGAGACATCCATCTTCACCCAGAGGGGTAGACCTGTCAAACACACCTTGTTCCCAGGCTGCAGTAATCTCCAGGCATCTCTCATCAGAGTGGGTGCAAACCCCAAGGTATGTGGCAGGCAAGTAGCAGCAGTGACAGCATGGTGGGGCCTCGCAAAGGAACAAGAAGCTGGGGCTTGAGAGGCTTAGATCCTTTGTGTTCTCAGAGAACAACTGGCAGCTCCTCCTGCCTGGCACCATCCCAGCCTGGGCCCTTTGGTTGGCCAGCGTCTCCACCTGTGCCTGGGTGGGCTGCCTTTCACAGGTGTAGCAGTTGCTAGGCCTCAGCTTGGTTGGGACTCCTGGGAGGAAGGGGCTGGCTTTGAAGTTTCCATCTCCCCCAAGCATCATTTAGTCAGGCGCCTAAGCAGGGCTTCTGAGATTTAGTGTGCATCAGAATCACCAGGGCACTTGTTAAAATACAGCAGCCCACACTTATCTCTGGGTGACATGTTCCAAGACCCCCAGGTGATGCCTGAAACCCTATCCATGCTGTGTTTTCTTTTATCTTTTCAGTTACGGAAGTGCTTCATGGCTTCTCTTTGGCATATCTGCACTCCTGCACTTTTTAAATATTCTGTAAAATAAGGGTTACTTGAACACAAGCAATAGTCAGTCTGATAACTAACATTGTTACTGTGTGATGAATGGCAGGTAGTGTAGACAGCATGGGGGTAGTGGACAAGGGTGATTTACATTCCATGCAAAAGCGTATGAAGTTTCATCCCACTACTAAAAAAAGTGCACATTTAAAAACAGGAATTGGTTATTTCTAGAATTTTTCACTAAATATTTTTGGACCAGGTTGACCTTGGATAACTGAAACCTTGAGAGTACCATACAGATTAGGGAGTACATACAGATTTCTCAGGCACATCCCCAAGGATTTGGATTTGATAGATCTGGAGTGGGGACCACAATTGCATTTCTTTCTTTTTCTTTTTTTTTTTTTGATACTGGGGGTCAAACTCAGACCTTGTGCTTGCGAAGCAGGCACAGTGCCACTGAGCTAAATCCCCGGTCCTACAGTTGTATTTCTAACAATTCCCCAGTGATAGGTGGCTATCATTCCAGGGAACACATTTGAAAAACCAGTGAGCTAGCATATAGTAAAAAGAAAAGCTAAATTCGAGACCCAACCCTGCCACTTTCCAGATCTGTGATCGTGTACTTTGACTTCTTTGAACTTCAGTTCCTGCCTTAAAAGTTCAGTGATGATCACTGGATAGTTGAGAGGACTAGATTGCATAGATTTGAAAGACTCAGTGTATGTGGATATAAGGGCTAGGTTGTAGCTCAATGGTACAGAATGTGCTTTGCATGTGCAAGGTCCTGGATTCAATCCTAAGCACCACAAAAATAAATAAATAGGTCAACAAATGCGTTATTTATTGAGTTTATTTGTCTCCTGTCAGTTATTCTACCCAATGCTATGGCTGACTTTGGGCAGATCACACCTGAGGATTATAATTCCCAGGTAAACATCCCACATCTCTGGATTTTAGTTCTCTCCCCTATAAAAAGAGCTTTGGTCTGCCAGATTATTATGGTTTCTGTCTAGTTGTATCTCCAAACCTCATGTGCTCCTAAGTGGGGCTTTTGGGAGGTTACTGGTTCATGGTTGTGTGACACTGGATCAGTCCACCGTTGGGTTTATAGCTGGGTGTGATGTTGGAATTTGAAGCCCGGTGGGAAGAGGTGGGCCACCCAGCTCCCTTGAGTGCTCCCTGCTTCCTGCCTGCCATGCCATGGACCATTTCTTCTCTGTCACACCACTCTGCCATGCCACCCTGCCCTTAAGCCAGCTAATTATGGACTGAAACCTCTAAAACTGTGAGCTAAAGTAAACCTCTTCCTCTGTAACTTGTGCATCAGGCATTTTGTCCCAGCAATGACAGAGTAGCCAAGACATGGACCATTTCATGAGGGGTGAACTTACCAGTGACTGGTTACTGATGTTCTTTGCTCTGCAGTATCAGTTCAACTCTCAGGTGATATAGTCTGGGAAAAAATGTGAGTGTGACTCCAAAACCTAACCCTCCCTCCCAGAGTCAGACCTCTACACAGGACCTAGAGGGGCTATAATTTCATAGACCAAACTGAGTCTTTAAGGCCCTTAGTGATCTGTTTCCAATCAACATTTATGGTCATATTTCCTTCCGTTTCTCCTCTGTTCACCTTAGAGTCTACACAAGTTGAACGCTTCGCCCTTCCCCAAAGAAGCCTTATGTTTTCTTGCCTCCTGCCTTTGTTCACATTCTCACCATCAGAATATTGTTGCCCTGGTCAAAGTCCTATGCAGGGAGAAAAATTTTGCCAATTATCCCCCAGGCAGAGGATTCATATCTGGAATATATAAATAACTCTCTCCAAATAAATGACCTAATAAAAATGGGCAACTGAAATGAAAAGACACTTCTTAGAAAAAGTATGAAGGGCCAATATATACCTGAAAAGATGTTCAACATCACTGACCATTAAAGGAGAGCAAATTAAAACAACAATGAGAATCTATCTTACCCCAGAGAGAATGCCTATCATCAAAAAATCAGATAATGAGTCATCGCTCAAGCGCCGGGAAGGTAGCCGCGCGGGTGCCCCTGAACCCCCATAACCCCCCCCCG